GGTACACTTGTCCCCTGTGCCCTGCTCCCAGGCGCTAGGACACGCATACATCGAGAACGCAAGCCCGGCCAAGGCCCCATTGGATTCATTCATTGCGAATATACTTCTCCGACAAAGACCGAATATCCTTCGAGACATTCAATCTCGTTATTTTTTTTCGTTTCTTGTATTGTGCAGCGAGACCAAATAATCTATTGAAGGTCTGAATCTGGACTGGTCTTCTATTACTATGCAGAAATTGAAATCACTAGTCGTTTTCTGAATCTCTCCTCAAGCACGTCCGTATCTAATCCTCTGTGCTCGTGGGACCTCGCCCCCAACAAGTCTGCCGCGAGGAAGAAGGTAGGAAAGAGCATCTCATAAAAGATAAGGAGAAAGCTACGCTTTTTTCTTTCTTTCTTTCTTTCTTTTTTTTTTTTTTTTTTTTTTTTTTCTAGAGACAATCATGTAGACGAACAGTCCGACCAGATGATATATTGATCAATTGATGAAAAATTTGGACCATTTCTCGATTTATGCGTGTCATCCTTGCGCAGGGGCCATGCTAATCTTCTCTGTATCGTTCCAATTTTAACGGATGTCCCGAAGGACTTTTTTCTTTTTTCCGGAAAGTCACAATATTTATATTGCAGAATCATAGGAAAGAGGCCGGGGACCTCACAATTCGACCCGGGAACAATAGTTTACTATTCAGAAGGGTTAGGTAGATTAGGGTCTTGGAGGGTTTCTTCTTTTGGGCTTTCAGTTTGGCCTTTGGCCACTGTGGGTTATTGGGGCAAGGTCCCCACTTTGTTATGGTGTGTTGTTGGGGTCCGTTTCCCCACTTGGTATCTCTGGGCACGTCCCAGTTGAGACTGTGTCGTTCCGGGTTGTTTGTGAGGAATTCCCGGCCTCAAGTTGATTTTTATAATTGGAATTTCTCGCCTTTTCCCAAACAAAAAAAAAAATTTCGACCCGGGAGGTGTGGGGCCATTACCCACAATCGGCTCAAACACGAATAATTTCTGGAAACGGGGGCCAGTGTCCCTTTCCTACTCAGCTACTTTCCAAAAAGAAAGTCYTTGAACCCCAACCCCMAAMAGGGAAATTGTGATCSACACTATCTGGGCTGCCAGGAATGCCAAGGTGTTAAAGGGTGAAGAACATACATTACACCAGCAGCAACATCAGATTAGGAACAAGCTTCGCCAGGTCATCAAAGCTGATTGGAACAGAAAGAACTTTGTCTGGTTCCTGAAAACTTGGGCTTAAGGTAAAAAGCTACAGTCTTCCCCCGAATACAACGTACCGTCATTATAGCTGAATTTGGGCTGAATTTGGTGTATCTTTCGGTCTAAATTCAGCTATAATGACCGTACGTTGTATTGGGGGGAAGACTGTAGCTTCGATGAACCAGGAAGGGAGACTTTCCATCTGCTCCTGGCTATCGGATACTCATGACTAGGGTGAGCAAGGTGTAGACAAAGTACAAAATACGGAGCTTTGCTGTTATCCTGGTCTATCACGTAGGAGCCGTTGTAGGCTCGACACCTCTATGGCCCGTGTTAGGCCAGAATCAGAGATAGGCCAGAATCAGAGATAGCCTGTTAGGAGAATAAGGGCCCGTTTGCCCACAGTAAGACTGTTACTTTTTTCATGAGCTTCATGGTACATTTGGAGAGTTGGTTTTTCGCCTATTGAGAGGCAGGGATGCTGAACCCGGTTTTCAGCGAAGGGTTACTCGGGGTTGAATTGTGAGGTCCCCGGCCTCCCACGGATATTACTTTTTTTTTTTTTTTTTTTTTTTTAAGGCTAATTCTTTAAGCCCAACCAATTCAATTACCTGTCAAATCTGGACAGGATGGCCTTTCAGGCCTTTTTATTGTCATTATAGTATTACGGGGAACCCCGTAGCAGCCACATCCGTGCTCAAGCCTCCAACGAGGGAACATGCGGGAGCTGCACCCACCAGCAGGTGCGATACCTGCCACAGCAGGTGGGCGATACTGGCCAGGGGTCAGCCGGTAGCATCAGGACCCAGCTTCTTCGATGGGCCAGTCACTCTGCCTTCCCTCCGGTCCCCTCCCCCTATAAACATCAGCAGTCTCTGCTCAATGCCACTTGGGGGGACCAACGGCATATCTCTAGGTGGCGGGCGCCAAGCTTGCCCAGGAAGGTACATAAGGCCAATGGGGATTGAACCCAAGACCTCCTGAATGCCACTTGCGCGCCTTACCAACTGAGCTAGGCCGCTGGATAGACGGATATTACTTTTGAACAGTGCTGGTCCACCGGATGGACCGGGGGGGCCTCCTTGGACCGGGAGCCGCCCGGTCGGACCGGCCGGTCCACTGGACCGGCAGGCCCCTGGTTCGAACCAGCGCATTGTGCTGGGAGGGGGGTACCGGGGATTTTTAGGTGACCAGCAGGGGCTGGTGTTTCTCAGCTCGAGTCGTCTGTGGAATGGATGGGTAAGGGACGGGGTTGCAAGGGTTGGGCATGTGTGGGACCAAACCAGCAATGCCTGAGTCTTAGAGGAACACCTTAGAGCAAAGCGTCGCCACTGCCAAAGAATAGGGGAGAGGCTGGACCAAATTCTCTTCGCCCTCCCTCTCGCATGGGTGCGGACAATGGACGAAGGTGATTGGGTGGTGTTAAGAGGGGACGCAACTCGGGTGGGGGAAGAAATCACAAATTCACAATCAGACCGGAGGAGGTGCTGGTAAACGTTTTTTATCGGACACAGCTAAACCGGCTGATCAGGGAATGTCGGATGAAGTGTACTGGATTGATGTTAAAATTGCCCACAGGGTGAGACGCCTGGGTTGCATTTAAGCCGGAGGTGCCCATCCAGGACCTCCCCATAGATGTAGCTGAGTGGAGATGGAAGATCCCAATAAGGAATGACGAACCAAAATATTGTTTTCTCCATACATCCGGCATCAAAGAGACCCAGGGTTGTTGAGCCTCGGCCTTAGGGCCCCAGTGGGGATGCCCGGGTCTAGGGGTGTGCACCCCTAGCCCCAGCTGCGGACACCGCAAAAAAAATAATAAACAAAAAAAAATTGTGGGGGGTGCGCAGCGAGAGCGCGCACCCCGTGAGCTAAACCCCAAAGATGGGATTTGGTTCCCCACCCCGGAGCCCCCCCGGGCCCACACCCACCACTGGTGGGACCGCGGTAGCCATGGGTGCGGGGCCGGGGGGGGGGGCAACAGTCGGCGGGGCCGGGGATAAGTGGTGGCAGGGGCGGGGATGAGTGCTGGCGAGGGCAGGGTGCGGGGCTATCGGGGTTTTGGAAGAACGAGAAGCCTTTTCCCTGAGCTTAGTCTAGGACCTCAATTATTTAGATTGTCAACAAACAAATCTTTAGTAGTCGTCTTCCATCACTCTGCCTTCTCTAGTCCCGCCGTGGAGCCATCACAATAATCACCTGATAACTCATAAAGCTGTTGGGAACAATTTCTAACCATCGAAAAAGCAACATCTTTTGTAAGGTACTCCAATCCTACAATGAAATCCGTTCTTAAGGTAGGCTTGTCCACGTTCTGATAATTATTGAACTACCTGTCTCTAGCTATCCCCTGCATCAAAGCCTTGATCATCATCTGGGTTTCTCCTTGCAGATATCCCTAAGACACGAAGTTGCTAATCCATTCCTTAGGCGTATGCATATCAGGACCGAAAGGGAAACAAGTAGGAGCGAGGTATCTACTCGTCGCAACTGGTTGCGTCATATTGGGTTGATTCTTGTCTCCCGTGCAGGATTGGTGACGCACTCATGAGACCCGACTGAGCAGCTACTAGTTCAGGCGAACTTTGTGTAGTCTATTAATAGTTTTGTTCTCTCACCACTTCGTCTAAACATAAGGGAGTTGACACGCCTACACTACTTTCCTTTAAGAAGTGGACTAAATGCAGAAGGGGCCCAGAAAGCATGAAACGGGGTGTGTCAAGGATTTTAGGAAAAGTAAGTTCCAAGTTCTAGGTCGAAACTAGAATCTCTTGTGCGGTTCTGGCTATGGTTTAAGGGATGGCAAAAGGGCAGGCGAGGTGCACTTTATGGTGTCCTTTCCCTGGTAGAAACTGAGAATGGATGACGGTTCCCGACTGTAGACGAGGATTGGACGACGTGTCTCCGTACAGTTTGATGTGAGGATAGAAGGGGCGCAGTTCAGCTTCTTTCTCCGCCACTTCTATTTCTTGACGTAGTGTGTAGTTGAATCCACTTTCTCTCAGCCATTCAGAGCTCTGAAAGGCATAACGAAAGGGGGAGGCCGTTAAAACACCCCCAGAGATAGATCGCGTCGTTACTAAGTTCCCTGATCTGTTCGAGGAGCCCTCAGGAGTTGTTGATAGGGAAGTCGTCCACGCTATAGAAATCATTCCAGGGAGTAAGACCCCAAAGGGAAGAATCTATAGGATGGCCCCCGCCGAGTTAGATGAACTTCGGAAGCAACTTAAGGAGCTGATAGAAAAGGGATGGATTTGGCCTAGTACTTCCCCTTACGGATCACCCGTGCTATTCGTACTGAAGAAGGGAAGTACTTTGAGGATGTGCATTGATTATAGGGGCCTTAGTGCCATCACAGTGAAGAACGCAGAGCCTCTACCTCGCATAGACAGCCTATTGGATAGGGTGCAGGGATGCAAGTACTATACAAAGATAGACTTGAAATCCGAATATCACCAGATCGCAATAAGACTTGAGGACCAACACAAGACAACTTTTCAGACTCGTTATGGTCTGTATGAGTTTGTAGTGATGCCTTTTGGTCTTTGTAATGCGCCGGGTACGTTCCAGCACGCTATGAATCGGATCTTCCATGACCATTTAGATAAGTTCGTCGTGGTCTATTTAGACGATATTTTAATATTTAGTAAGTCTGTCGAGGAGCACACACAGCATGTTGAGACAGTTCTCTCACTCCTGCGACAGCATAAGTATTAGGTCATCTTAGAGAAGTGCGAGTTTGGCCGCACTAAGGTACTATACTTGGGTCGTGAAGTATCCGCGGAGGGAATTAGGCCGGAAGATGCGAAGGTGGCTAGTATTCGAGACTGTCCACGACCTCAGACAGTCACTGAGGTCGGTCATTCTTAGGAATGTGCGGCTACTATAGAAACTTCGTTAAGAACTATTCTACAGTCGCCTCTCCTTTGACTGATCTAACTCGACTTGACACACCGTGGGACTGGAGTGATGAGTGCGAGGGTGCTTTCAAGAGATTGAAGCATGCACTCATGAATCATGAAGTCCTCATGGTTCCCGATCCGCAGAAGTCATTCATAGAGACCACTCACGCAAGCCAATACGGCATTGGCGCGGTGCTGGCTCAGCAGGATGGAAACAAGTTAAGACCGATTGAGTACATGAGTAAGAAGATGCCATCGAAGAAGTTGGCTAAGTCCACCTACGAAAGGGAACTCTATGTTCTTTACACGACACTTGTCCATTGGAGACACTTCCTTTTAGGAAGATTCTTCTATCTGAGGACTGATCATCAGACCCTCAAATGGATCAAGACTGAACCGGCTCTTTCTGATGCACTCAAGCGATGGATTAAGGTCATAGACCAATATGACTTCAAGCTTGAGTACCTGAAGGGAGAGTACAACAAGGTTGCAGACGCGCTATCCCGTAGAGCAGACTACCTAGGTGCGCTAGTTTCTGAATTTGGCGTATCTAATGAAGTAACTCAATCATTGGTGGGAGCCTATCACGAAGACCCTGTCACGATGAATATCATCCGCAGGCAAAAGACAAGGCCACAGAAAGTGAGTTTGTGATGGTGGACGGGCTACTCTATCTTGATAAGGCCGGAATAAAGAGATTGGTAGTTCCATCTAGTGAAGAGTTGCGTAGTTTATTTTTAGGCGAATGTCATGATGCCACTGGGCACTTTGGCTACAAGAAGACGAGTGCTAACTTAGTACAACGATTTTGGTGGCCCATAATGTTGGATGACGCAAAGAAGTATGTTGAGACCTGTCAGGTCTGTAAGCGGAACAAGCCGCGAACTCAAGCACCGCTTGGGTCATTGAAGCCTTTACCTATTCCTGATGGTCCAAGATTGAGTGTTTCCATGGATTTCATGGACACCCTAGTGACCAGCAAGAGTGGTAAGGGGCACATTTTCGTCATCATCGACGGATTCACCAAGTTCGCTAGACTAGTACCAATGTCAGAGACAGCCAGTATAGAATACGTCATCAAGTTGTTCAACGACAACTGGGTAAGGGACTTTGGTTTACCAAAGACCATCATTAGTGACCGAGACGTCCGATTCACAAGTGAGTTGTGGAAGAAGACTGCGGAACAGATGGGCAGTCAACTTCAGATGACTTCAGGGAATAACATGTTATTCATTAAAATCGTATATTATTTTCTAAATAGTACTTTTGTCGTTCGAGAAACTCGAAAGGTATACACGGCTGACGAAAGAAGATGCTCATTATACATTAATACACAACGATGAGAGTCTCTGTTCAACGGATAAATCCTCAACTAAACTGGCATACATTCAGACAGTCAGTACAAACGTAGTATATCGAAGGTTTCCCCTTGTGAGAGACGTATATGAGTGATCCGAAAAAGGTCTTTGTTGAGGCTTTGAAGGGTGCATGGGAGTGAAAAGAATAACTCATTTTTGAAGTTTAATTTAATACAAGCAGGATGAGTAGGATACATCCGAGTGACATGTTTCGATATCCATAATACACAAGTTGGCTAGTTTTATAGTAAAACTAGGATATATCCGAATCAAATATTTCGTTATTCGGATGGAGAAAATCCGTTATGTTATAAACCGTGCGTCATTCATTAAATATCCTTGAAGTTCACTCAATCAAAATGATGAACTTATGATCATAGCCCGGATCACCCTCCGAGGGAAAATTAACCAATATGTTATCATTCCAAGAACAATTATAGCTTAGCAGACATTTCTTAAAACAAAAGGGCATCGGACGGAGTGAAGTGATGGGCAGCATTATGCAGAGATTTTATCATTTGCCGCTTGCCGAGTTCGACCTCGCAACCATGAACTTGTAACATCCCTACCCAATGCTGCCCACCACTCCGCCACTGTCCTTGCCGAGATGAAATGATGTATTTTAACAAATAAAAGTGCACCCTCGGGAACCCCTTAAGAACTCTAGTAACCATCAGTCTTAAATTTCAACTAGATGGCGGTTGCATGTACATTATCACTTTACCAAACATTTCTCAAAACAAACGGGCATCGTGCAGAGTGAAGTGGTGGGGAGCATATTATGTAAAGACGTTATCATCTGAGGATTGGGCATTGGAGAAGACTCAAACGAATGTATATGATACATCCTAATCCAACTGTGTACAGACTATCAGATGTTGAAGTGACCAAGCACCTTATAATTATTTTGAAAGATCTCACTGGATTTTGAAGACAATTGACAACTCATGAGAACTAGATTGAAAAGCGAAGACAAATTAAAAACAGAGCGGGACACCCAGCCTACATAAGCAGGCACACAACCATTGTCGAGACAAATGAGAAGTACGCCGTAAAAACTGATAAAAGTTATCTGGTCCCAATATTGCGAATTTGTAACGGTTACCTCAAAAGTTTCCATTAACCAAAGATTGGGCAATGCTATGTCGGACCATCCACAATTAACCAAAAAGTTTCCGTGAAAATTTCAACGAATCGGACATTCTAACACAAAAATTTGGAAATGTCGAGATGTATCTCTAAAAAAAGCCTACACTATAAAAACATTCACAAATCCGACATCCTGACGAAACTCTAAAAACGTAAGACTCATCACCAAAGTGTCCTGAACTTGAAATCTTCAAATGAAGTCTCTTCGAAAAGCGTTCACTAGCGGTTTCCATGTTTAACCGTGCACAATGCAAGCCGGGATAGGAGGTTGAGGCAGACCTTCGAAACCCGTAATGAAAATCGAGAAACCTTGAACGTCTCCCCCAGCCATGACAACAACACGTCTCAAGGACACAAGAACAACTGCAGCTTGCAGATAAGGTGCTGTAAAATCCCCCAGCATCCAGTTTCCCCCTTGACGCTCTTGTGTTTGGTTGTCGTAACAATATCCTTATTCTCTGGGTCAGATGCATCCGAACCACAACCGACCATGAGCGAGGGAAGTATCGAGACTCGTCTCTCAAACTGGTGAAAATTAAAAATAATCAGAAATAACTATACTACGAAAATGTTCACAAATCCGACATAATGACACAAAATTCTAGAAACGTAAGACTGGTCACCAAACGTCTTAAAAAGTTGAAGTCCTCAAAAGAAGCCTCTTCGCAAAGCGTTCACTATCGGTTCCCATGTCGAACCGTCCACCATGCAAGCCGGGATTGGAGGTTGAGGCAGACCTTCAAACTCCGTAATGGAAAACGAGAAACCCTCAATGTCACCCCCTGCTCCGAGCACAGCACGTCTCAAGGCGAAAAGAACTTCTAAAGCTTTTACATAAGCTCTTGTAAAATCTCCTCGCATCCAATTTTCCCCCCGACGCTTATATATTCGCATGTCGAAAATGTTCAGATCAGTAAACCTCACCATGATGACAAACATTGTCCGTCCTCCCACTACGATCCTGAAGATTCTCTCATATTGAAAAGGAAACGATCCTCCCTTTGTGATGATCGTCAGTCATTCAGGTACTTTTATTTCAATAAAGCCCAAAATCTCATCCATGTTTTCGAAATACGTCAGAAGAGGAAAGTCTGCACAATGCAAAAGACAAAAGTCACAATAAAAGCGTCACATCAATTTCAGGATCGAAAGTCCGAGGTCATGTTACGACAACCAAAACGCCCCCACGCTCAATGTCGAAAATTGATGAAGAACTCTTGTTGATTTGAAGCGCGTAACCTAGAGAGCACAAATCATTAAGCGATGTATTCTATGGAGTCAAGCGTGGTGTGCACAGGCCAGCATGGCAACATGCTCTCCTCACGAAAAGACGACAACCATCACACTCTCGATGAGGTAGCCTCCTGCCCGCTCCCTTCTCCGGAAACGCTTTGTGTTTGAGCGCCAACGCCATTTTCGAGGGCGGGAATTGCATTTTTTCTTACTTTCAGAGGAATCACAAGACCGGTGGTAAACTTTTTGGAGGACTCGCAGACATTCGTCCTCGTTTGTCTCATCCAAGAAAACGCAACGGTTGTGACATGTTGATACTCTTCCTCGTGCCCTGGAGCTTTTTTCCATTTTTTTTCCCAGGCGTCACCAAACAATTGTCTTAGTGTGCTCGCTTTTCCGATTGGAACCCAGTACTCCACTTTGAATTGGTTGTAAGTTGGCGAATCTTCGTTCTTGTCAACTTCACTAAGAACCTGGCCAACCCAAAAAGGCACTCCTTGATGCATGTCCTCGTCTGATGGTTGCATAATGACAAAACTGTCGACATGCACATCTTCGAAAGGATCAAAGCTGGCCTTAGGCTTGTCCCTCTGAAGACCCATGAACAGAGGTTCTCTCTGTAATTCGGATGCATCCGAATCAGAGCAAGAACTCCTGTCTTCAACGACATGGGTGGCCTTTGGCCAGAATTCGGTTATGGGTGCCGAAGGAACCCCGTTGTCGATAATGTGCCCCGCGTGTTTGACGTGATCTTCCCAAAACCGAAAAGCCCTATCTATTCTAGTCACCTCTTCGTCTCGGAAAGTCATCCAAGTTTCTCTTTTTTTTCATAGACTTCCAAAAACCTCTTCACACCCTCCAAACCGTTTTTGTAATCGTCGAGGAACGCCGGTTGGACCGGAAGAGGATCGAAAGGTTGCTGCGGACCAGCGTAACCACCGTTGTCCATTTGTTTGAACCAGTAAAGAGGACCATATTCGGGCAACCACTTAGCGTATGTGCAATACTCTTTATAGGACATGGCGGGATTATCACCTATCACGTAGAATTTTAGCAAATGAGGCTTCCAAATCCCTGTCATGCGCTTTGAAACATGCGGGTAAATAAGACCTCTCCAGTCTGCTATCCTATCAAGAAAAATACACCGCGGAGGAGTCTTATGAGACCGCTCTAGCAAAAGGAACAACTCATCCATTGTGTAGGCATCATTGTCCTTGAGTTTCTTGGAGAAAACACTAAACGTGGCATCAACGTCTGTGTGCGTGTGTCCAACTATCATAAAACCAATTTCTATTTCCTTAAAAATCCCGAACTTCACAAGAAGTGCTGCCAATGCGCAGATGGGTCTATTCTTGTTTTCTTTGAAGCAGTTGTCAGCTTGAATACGAAGAAACGGCGGTAGAGGTTTCCCATTGGATTGGATCTCCGTAAGAGTCCGCATTAAACACGTCGCCGTACTGCTGAGACCGTGTGTGTAGTAAGGAAAATATGTGTAAACATATATAGACAGATCCCGGCCATGGACCAGAACGGCCGTGAGACTAGTCTTCATCATCCTCTCGTGGTGCAAGTCCTTCGAGTAATTAGCCTGTCCTATATGCGGTATGATAGTTTTCTTTTGATCCATGTCGTCAATAATGATGCACAGACACTCAGACTGCCGCAAGATGAAATCCATTTTGCAGCGGCTATAGTCTAGCCTGTGGTTGACTTGCAGCTCTTGATGTTTCCGCATCATATCTTCGGATTTCTTACGGTCCCTCTCGTACTTCGACTTGGCAATGCACTGCTTGTAGAATATACATTTTGCGCACTTCGTGAATGTGTTGGACATAGCTAGACTCACGTGCCAAAAGTGCTTACTCCACATAGCGTAGAAAGTCGACTGCGACACAACTTCCG